AAAGAGGGAGTTAAACTTAAGGCAAAGATGTAATTTGAACAGGAATGTGGTTAAGTATTAGTGAGGAAAGGCTGAAATTGAGAGGCAATGTAAAGAGGAAGCCAGTAAGTTTCATAGCTTGCTGAAGGCAATGCTCAAATAATTGGTAAAACATATTCTATCTAATGCAATTTTTTTAAAAGTACTTATATAAAACCCCCATAATTTTCTTTGTAACTTTATCTATTTTACAGTTTATTCTGAAATTTGTCATTGAATTTGCATGGATTTGGAAGTTAAAGGAGTTGCTGCATCCCCTCGAAGGCAGGCTCAGCTGTCATTGAGGGGGAAAAAACGTCAGGTATGTTAACGGAAGATTTGTTTTCTAGCCTTACTTTGACATTTTAATGAGTATTTTAATCATAGTTTTGCAGGTTCATAGTTTGAGGTTATAATGCATTCTGAGAGAACGAAAATTATAAATTATTTTTGTCAGAAAGTGATAGTTTAATATGACAGCTTCTCAAATGAATGTGAGAATTTCCAATAAAAACAGCTGTCCTAAAATAATTTATATACTGAGTACTTAAATGGGATGTGGAGAAATTGGGAACAAACTAGTGGTTGCAATTAAGAGCAGAAGAGGCTTGAGCCTGTGCTGTGTGCTCACTCAGGCTGTTGGTGAAACTGCTAACTGGTGTGTCTGTGTTTTTGTTTTGTAAGACCCCAATAAAGTAAAGAAACCTCCAAAACATAGTTTCAAAAGGCATAATTTCAGATTGTGAAATGAATCTCAGTGCTCTGCATTCAGTATGAAGGGGAATTTTATTTTCCAGGTATTCCTAATACTCTACATTTTGAGACAAGGTAGGTGTGCAGCCCTCACAAGGTAGCGCTCAACTGTAGCCGAAACTTTCAGTCTGACTTTTAAAAACCTGATCAGTACAGATACGATCTTGGTTTCTGAGGGCCATTGTTTTTATTATAGCTAAGGTAAATATTAATTTTGTTAACAACAATTGATTTTTCTCACAGATACTGTGTACTTCACATCCATGAAATAAAGTTAATTGTTCATCTTCCTTCAGCCCCCAAGCACCCATTTAACTTCCGTGTTTGTTGGATGACCACATTAGGAATTATTGAAGTTTCACTGCCAAGTTGCTCTTTTCCCTTTTTTGTTTGATTTGGGATGACAAAAGGAGCTTTTGTAAATGGTACCACATCAGTGTTATAGTGTTACCTTTTAACCAGTCTTTTGAGAATGAAATACCTGTGTACAACAAGAACATTTGGGGCATTTAGTGTAGATTGTAAAAGAAAAGTCTATATTTCTGTAATCTCTTATCTCTTTTTTTTCCCCCTTATCTTTCTTGTGTCTCTCAGTTTCCAAATTTAGAATCCCAAGTCTGTCTAATTCTCAACTTGCAAAAATAAATTGTAGAATGAAATTAGGTTGAAACTATGTGCTTCTCCCTGAAAATGTGGACAGTCTTCAGGGTGACTTTTGTTCACTTTCTTCCTGATTCAATGACTTCTGGACAAGAATTTACATTAAGACTTTAACATGTAGAAGGTGGTATGTTCTCTATCTTATCACAGTTGAAATGGTACAGAAAAATGATATGCTTCTGATTTAACTCATTAAGACTCAATGCAATGCGTTAAATCAGAAGCATATTAGGACTAAATTGTGTTAGATCTTGTAACAGTTTTTTACATACTTGACCACAAGGTGGTAGTGTTTGTTATGCACGACCTTACTGGAGAGGACTTTCAGTGTTTTAAACCCGAGTACTCTTTTTTTCGAAGGCACTAGAGGGTAGTGTTGCTGAATTCTGGACTTTTTCAGGAGCAGGGTACAAGGGTGTGTGACAAGAAAGGAGTGACATTTTTGTGACTGCTTCTAAACCGTGAAAGGTGTTAGGACACGGCTGGAAAGAGGATGTCTGCTCAGTTCCAACTGTGATGCTGACTATGATGCTGAGATCTCTGAGCTGTGTGAAAACAAAGATGCTGGCCCTGGTTCAGAGCATCCCTGAGCCACGTTTTTTTTTCAGACTGGGAGGCTGGTTGTGGTGATTGTTACTATGTGTTTGCCCCAGTCAAACAGTCTTCCTTAGGGTCTCTTGCTGTTGGCTGTTTTCAGAAAGCTGTACTGAGGTAGATGGAGCTTTGGCTGGAGTCTTTTTTTCTTGCCATGTTCTCGCTCAGTTGACTTTGGAGATCTGAGTTGTGCACAGCCATGCAAAATAAACAGTGTGAGTACAGAAGCTGCCTAGTCATCATCAATGTGCTGCCATACTAAAAGTGAGATGATACAGTTACACCAAATATCAAGGCTTCTTTGAGGTCTGAGCTAGCTCCTTGTGAGCCAGCTGGCTGTCAGTATTGTGGTTTTGGTTTAAGGGTTGGATGAGGGGTTTGTTCCCAACCAGCAAGGACAATGTGACCTAAAACCTTGTGAGGAGTGGTTGTACAAAGCCTCCGGAAATGGATTATTTTTAATGCATTATTAATAGTTGGTGTGGATACTGTGTGGATTCTTAATGGCTGGAGGTCTCTGTCATTGTGAATATTCCCTCTTTCAGTTTCTTGATCCTTAAGAAGCAATTTTCAATGAAAAGCTTTTGTTTTCTTGTTTTGTTAGTAGCATCTCAGTCAAATACGTCAGACAGATACTTTCAGGCATTCCAGGTGAAGTTGAAAGAGAGGACTATGGATTTTAATCCTGATCCCTGTAGGTATATAATAATACATGTGTTCTTCTAGGGCTGGAGACCAGACACACAGGCTACTCACGGTCCTCGCCCACCAGAGTAAGTCTGTTTCTATTTCTGATCTGTTTGTTTAGTTGTGCATTATTAACACAATGCATTTGCATTTGTATTGCTATGCAACACAGTGTTCCATAAAATTTATCATCGTAAGTTTGTTTTCCATGATTTATATTTAGAGTAGAATATTTAATGCATTATTTACATTGGAATTAAGTTGATTTACATTTGGTTGAGCTTAATGATAGAGTTATACTCAGAGCTTTCATATTTATACCTAATTTTTCTTGAATATTTTAAATATAATAGTCTACAAAGAGAGAAATGTTTTTCAATTATTGGCATTTTTTGCAGGTATTACAACAAAAATTACAGAGAAACTGGTGTGAAGTGTTTTTACAAGGAATATGAAATTTTGTATGATACTGATAAAATTTAAAACCTTGTAGTGACTTAGGCAGATAACCAACATCTGCTATTCCAAGAACCATATTTTATAGTTTAGGTTGGTTTGTTTTCTGAAATGCTTTACAGCCAATACGTCTTTCTATGTTATATTTACAAGTATGTGTGACTATGGCCTTGGATTGTTCATACTGAAGTCAAAGAACTTCCTTTTCTGTGTACTGTCAGTCATTCTCTAATAAAAAAAAAAGACTGGAAATTAAAGATCTCGCTTGCTCCAAGAGGTAATTTTGTTATAATAGGATTGTTTGGAAATTTTGGTAGTAAAACTTAAAAAAAAAAAAAAAAAAGTATTTCTGGTGCTCCAGAGTGTACCTGGAGTAAGAATAGAAAGCGCAGGGATACTTTAATGATTTGGGCATGTTTTCATTTCTTTAAGCAGCATAAAGTACTGACATATAGTTGGCTTTCACTGTGTTCATCTCTTCCAAAAATTTTGGAAGGCTTGAACCCCAAGGAGCTATTGCTTTCCTGTTGGCTCTCTTGTGACTGATTCTAGAGGGATGTTGGCGCAGACCTGCTGTAGAAGACAGGAATAAGGAATCCCTGATTTATGAGCTTGTTGCAGCAGCTCCTGTTGAGGAGTGATGAGAAGCCAGGATGGGCTTTCTGGGAGTGCAGAAGGTCTTTGTGGGGGCTGTTTGCAGCTGCTGGGGTGCTCTGCAGCTGGGGAAGAGGAGAAGCTCTGTGGCCAGTTCCTGAGCTGGACTGAGAGGCTAATAGGGATTTGCCAAGTAGGCCAACTCCAGTTGTAGTGAAACTGTTCATAGCAGAGAATTTTTTGTGAAGGAGCCAATAATAATAACTAATAGGCCGTTTGCTTGTACTGTAATTGAATAATAAGATAACATATTGCTATTAAAAGCATTTTAACTTCCTGCAGGGTGCCATGCCTAGATCTAGGGAGGCTGGGAGACTCTGATGAAGAGGTAATTACAAATTAATTTTGTCTTTAATAGTTTTTAGAATTCATGTGTTGTTGGAGTCTATAAAAAAATTTCTTAGAATATGAAACAACTATAGTTCCTTGTTCTTTTTCTTTTTTTTTTTTTTTCCCTCCCTGAAATGTTAGGATGGGGACTATTACATACCATACAGTGGAAGTTATCCTTATACATGCCCTCTAGGCTCATCTTCAGAATGCAGAACATCATTACAAACACCATATGCACAGCATCATCAGGCTCAACAGGTCAGTCTGTCACTACAGATTTCTTTAAAATATGTCTGTTTAGCAGTAACTAAGAAAAGCATGTGTAGCTTTAGTATACAAGTTCTCTTTTTTTCGTTTGATTTAAACTCCAAGTGCTATTGCTCCAAAATATTTTCAGCAAAGTGCTTTCTACTGAAAAACCTTTAGAATATTTCAAGAATCCTGTTTTCTTACATGCTCTTCTCTGTTGGTTGATACACTCATGCTTTTTGTTGTACTTGTTTTTGAAGAGATATATTCAGTTTGTCAAAAGAACTGAAAAGTGCAATACTTCTGAGGGTAGTGTGTAACTTTGCTTTCTAATCAAAGTGGGACTTACAAAAATAATAAAGATACAATCGATACCAGTCAGTAAGTGTATGATTGAAGACAAAGCCCAAGTTTACAAACCGTAAGTATTATTTCTATGGAAGACTAGGTACTTCCTGTGAAAATGAAACTTTTGGAGTTACATGCAGCCATTTCGTAGGATTTTTCTAAAGTCTTTTGTCCTTAGAACTGTGGTGTTAACTTTGGAATTATATTCATTTACTCAGACCACTTGTTCTTAAAATTTGCAGATCACTTATCAGCATGATTTTTTTCCCCTGGATGACTGAGAAACTTAATCAGCACTAATCTTAGGTGCTTTGTAAGCAAAATCAGTAGTCCAGATGCTAACATTTTGGTTTATATTACAACACTGTTCGGGCTCGATATCCACTATAACAATTACAAGAATTCATTTAATTACTCTGTTATTACAGTTCCCTGAATGCAGGAAAAGTTTTCCTTTGAACTATTATAATTGAAATAAATTTGGACAAATGAAAGAGACTTTAAAAAAAAATGATGATGATACACATTTAATTTATTTTTTCCTTTAAACAGGTGTCTAGAAAATCTTGTCAGAAGAAAATAGAGGTAAAGTAGCTGAAAAAATACACACTGACAAAATAACATCAGCAATTCAGGAGCAGAATGTTGTATATTTTAATTTCTTTTTGCATGACAGTAACTAGGTTATTGGAGAGACTGTTTTTAATCTGCTGTCATTCCATCAGTATTTTGAGTGTTTCAAATATGATAATTAAAGGGAAATCGCTGAAGTGTGGCAAACAGTAGTCTTCTGTTTGCTGTCCCTATATATTAAAGAGATTAAATATCTAGAGTTTTAAACTAATGCAGGCAGAAAGAATGCTACCTACATTACTATTTTATGTCATAATCATGCACTGTACATCATGGTAAGAATCTTACTAGTCATAGTAAGTTTTTTTTTTTTTGGTTAAGGTGCAAGAAATATCCTAACTTATCATTGCCACCTCTTTTTGGAAGAATTTGAAAATGCAGTGTTTAAAAAACCATAGTTTCAAAAATATTTAATTTAGGTAAACCTAAGAAACACCCTAATGAGTGTGTTTAAAACAAAAGTGTAGCTAGAGGGAAAAACTGTTATTAACTAATTTGTACATACATAACTTGTGGCCCTTGAAAATTACTAATATAGTGACTTGCAGGGCAGGGCTCCAAACTGGCTGAAGCTCAAGATGAATATGCCAAGTTCATAATTTTATACGTTTCCCTATATAACCAAATGGTTTCTCAACTTGGGAAAAAAAACCAAACCAAACAAAACAAAACAAAACAAAGCAACAAATCATCAGTGAAATAAAAAGTGAAATGGTTAAATATTCTTTTTAAATAAAGGACCAAGAATGTCCTGCTTCTCACAATATCTATGTGCCCAACACAGGTGTTTCTGCATGTCTTAAGATGTAACTGTAAACATGTAACCACAGACAGGTTATTTTCCTCTCTACTGTGTTGTAAGAGTGCAGTGCAAATGTACTTGAGTACATAGCATAGTTTTAAGAGTTTTCAGAAGTTACATGAGATGGCAATTATAATAATGCTGTTCTCATTCAAAAAAATCAAGCAGGCTTTTATCTTGATTACTTTTTGCCTTAGCATTCTGTTTTGGAGCAGAAGACAATACCAGAAAATCTGCCATCTCCAACAGACAGGTATAAACTGAAGTATCATCAGTATGAAGCAGATATGAAGGAAGAATATAAGCAGTATTCTCAGAGAACTGCAGAAAAGAAAAAAGATCATCTCCAGTGTCCAGGAGCTTCAATAAAGGTAGCTAACAAAGAAGTAATTGCATTTTTAAACAGTAAATTCATGTTGGTATTTCATTAGTGCTTGGAGAGCTTTGTGTGTGTAATTCTTCCATGTTCTTATTGTGAAGAATTAAAACCTGAATTTTAGCATCTAATATTAAGTAGGAAATAAAGTATAGGAAGATTGTTCCAGTTGTTCCAGAGCAAGAAATTGAAGTGTTCTGAGTAGCTAAGTATGCTTTTATTTTCTGGTAAGAAATATAACATCACTGCTCATAGTGCACTTCTAGCCTGAGCATGTAGATTAGCATGATTGATAGGGAAGAGTTTGCAGCCTAAGAAGATCAGAGACAGATGGAAATTCTTGACAAAATATTATTTGCAATTAAAGGAATGCATTGAAGCTTTTTATTTTTTAGATATAAAAGTTTCTTAACTGTTATTCTATTTAATTATGACTATCTGTGGGACTTAAAGGAGAATTGAAAGGTGTAATCTGTACTTCATATTACTATTAATACTGAAAATAGAAATAAATATGGGGTTAAAATAATGAAAGATGTTATTTCTACCTTTTGCTTTGATACATAAGATCCAGTACAGTGACTGAGAGCTGTATTGGTTCTGCCAGGTCTCCTTTGTGTTTTTACATTAAAACTAAGATGCAAATGAGGGGAGATCAGTGGAGAGAACCTGGAAGACAAAGGGATGAATAAAACCAACTTTTCTCTTGTTCTGGAAAAGATTGTGGAGAAGAGTGGTTGCACAGAGCAAGACAAGCTATGAGGATTAGTGGAATGCTAGACTCTGCTGAGGGTTGATGACCATTTAAGAATCTTAATGAAATGTTAAGTATGCAGGTGTTGAGGAAACATGCTCATTGCTTTCCAGAGGGAAGGTTTGTGATGAGGAACAATGAGTTTACCAGTTTTACCTGCTTAATGTTCAGTAAAATGAAAACGGAAGGCCTTACATAAGACAGAGATTATGGTGTTACTGTTGTACACATGTTGTTGATGAAGGGGCTTTCTCCTCTTATAGTCACACTTCTCATGTTCAGATAAAACTTGGAGTACATGCAAGTACTTGTAAGTAAACATTCTGTGAATAAGGATTGAGTAAAAAATACAATTATGTTATTTTGTTCAGTTTAGTTTTATGTTTGGTGACAGTTAAGGTTGTCAGTTCTGGGTATTTGTTGGAGTATTTTTTTTTCTTTTATTATTAATGATTCCACTCTTATTTACTAATACTACGCTGTCATGTGATCTGTTTTCCAAGGAGTGACTCCTTTATATGCTGTCCTGTAGACCTATAAGAAGGATATTTACAGGAGAAACAAAGTTAATCTGAAACTGAAGAAATAGGTGACAAGTGTATACTGGGAGAGGAAAAGCAGGACTGGCTTGTTCTGGTGATTTGAGGTTCTGGAAAGACTCTTGCTAAGTGCTGGAAACCATGTGTGTCAGGCTTTTATGGCAGATTTTAATATCATGTCTAGCAGAACAATTTCTTTGTTAGATATCACTACCCAATTAAATTAATAAATCAAAAACTCTTTAGATTTCAAGATACTTATTATTTTATCTGATTAGTGGTGCTTGTAATAACTTTTATTCTCTGAAAACAAGCTGATGCTAGAGGAGCATAACTAACAAAACTCTTTTGATTACTTTCCCATGTTTCCTCCTTCCTGACTTCTATAAACACACTCTCCTTTGTCAATTTTCTTGATATCCTCCATGTAGGAGATATTTCTATAATACTCTTGGGCTGATTTGCACATCTATTAGATCCAGTTCAGTAGTATGCTTTGGCTTTTCTCTGTCTGGATGGTGTTTAACGTATTTGGTGGTCAAAAAGCAACATCTCTGCAATGGTAAATTTTGAGCTATATGCATAATGGCAAATCTGCCACTTTCTTTTGACTGTTCTTGAGCAGAACAAGAACTGGATAAGCTCTTGTCTTCTCCAGGGAGGTACCAACAATCTACTATCTCTGGCATGCTGCTGACTTTTCACAAAGGTGATGGAAACACAGTACTTCTGAGATTTTTTTTTTTTTTTTTTTTTTAAAATTTCAATATGGTTGGAAGCTTGTAAGTATTCAAAAGATATAAGGAAAGACAAGAGAGCAATATTTGTAAACTCAGTTTCTGTGGAAAGCTAGGCTTAAAAAAATTCTTTACTTTTTCTAATTAGCATGCAGTGGAAAAAGACACTACAAATTGAAGAAAGGAAGAAAAGTAGTTTGAAATAAATTCTTGAGAAAAATGTGTTACGTAGGGTTTCGTTCTTTATTTTCTTCGCAATTAATTAAATTTGGTTTATGAAAATAATGTATTTTTGTGTAGGGTACACAGCTTGAGGATGGTCATAATGATCTTGCAGCTCTGGATGAGAAAGCTCTCCTGCAACAATACTACACAAGCAAACCTTATAACATGCAGCACAGTATAAGGAAATCAGAAGCTGTAAGTATTTGGGCTGATATTATGCTGTTAACTCTCTAGACTTTTAGAATGACTTCCCAGATGTTCAACAGAAGTTAGGCCTTTGGTGATTTGGTCCTAGTATGTAATTGTGCCCATTAAAGTAATGCAGTTTAAATGTTTATTACCGTGGGAGCTGAACTGAGCAATCCAGTGAGCATTTAAAAAACGCTTATCTGCAGTACTTGTATTTTTAGTCAGTAATGTATATAAATGAGAATGCAAATTATGAATAATAAATACAAGTAGATACTTAGAATTATGATTAACTGAGTGAGTTGAGTGAACCTGAGTATAATGTTGCATTTACTGTGGTCTGCAGCTTGTGCCTCAGCCTGTGTTCCATCATCTGTGGATTCTGTGATTCCATCAGCTCTTACTCTGACTTGTTTCTTGAATAAACAGACTGTTTTCCCTCATTAACTCCTGAAAAGGAGTGTGTGATGAGGGCTGGCTTTATCAGCTAAATGGGCTCTGCTGCTGGTAATAATCGAGTCAGACATGGCTTTGAGGCTCCAAGCTCCAAGGATGGAGCTTCTAAAGCATCTGTAGGCAACACCTTCCTGTGACACACTACTCTTGTGAAGTTATCCCTGTTGTTCATACCAGGCCTCCCAAGGCTCTGTGTGTAACCGTTGCCTCCTGTTACACTGTTGGCCACTCAAAAAGAGTGTCATTCTCTTCTCTTTGTAACTTCCCTTTGCTTGTAGGATGTTTTCAGAATGCCTCATAGCTGCTGCTTCTGCAAGCTAAACAGCCAGGCTGCCTTAGCCTCTACTTTTGGTTGCCTGGGCTCTGATCCTCTGTCAGATCCTTTTCGGGTTCTGCTTATCCCTCTGGATCTTGGGAAGGAAGGAGCCCCAAAAACTGGGAACAAGTATGGCCTCACTAGAAGGGAATTAGAACTTCCCTTGTATGTATGTATGTACTTAATATGTTCCCTTAATTTTTTATATAGCCAGTGTTTTCAGTCTTTTTAGGAATGAACAATAGGAGTCTTGTCCATCTAATGCTAAGCCTTGAATTTAGGATTATTTACAATGATGAGGAACCTTGAGATTTGATATTGAATGATTCAGTGTGTGCACGTGCAGAATGATGGCTTTCATAACTGTTTTTGTGAAGGTATTGCTGAACAGAGTTAGCATTCTAACTTTCTCATGGAATACTGAGCCATGAGAAATTTTACGAGATTGTAAAAGAAATAATTATTCTGATTTATTTTGTTTGCTCATCACTATGCACTGAATTTTGCATCATTGCAAACATTTATTTGATTTCTAGTCTTGTCAAACTGAATGTGGATGTCGTGCTACTGAGGTCACTATTCATTTTTATGACAAAATCTTTTCAGAAAGTACACTTATGAAGAACTTGGAGAAGCTCCTGTTTGTTATTTTTTAGAATAAATTTAAAAATCTTTACTATAGAAGATAGAAAAATAAATTGAAGTATCACTAGATTAACTACTTAATGATAAATCAAAAAAGCTGAAAACACTGAGAGAGGTGTCAGTTCAGGACTACAGAATAACAAGTACACTACTGAAGCTGACATGCATTAAAAGGAAGCCAGCAGGTGCCTGAACAAGGTGTCTCTGGGACCTTTAGAAGCCCTTCTGTTATTGATGAGCACCTGTGGTTGCAGAGGCTGGCTGTTTCTTTCTAGGAACATCTCTTAGGTTCTCTCAGGTTTGAGCTTCTGATGGTAGCAGGAGTACTGGAAAAAAAACTGAAGTAGTAACTGCATACATATTAATTACATTGGATATATGTTGCCTCAGTTGGCATTTGATTTAAGGTGCTTTAAAAATAGGCTTAAGAATACACAATGTTAAAATTTCCTTTTACCATAATCATTACTAAAATCTCTTAATGTTAAAGTAGAATTTCTCTTAATTTTTCTGTAGTTTGAGATGAAAGTTCCTGTATTCCAGACAGATTATAGTGCATGTTTGATTACCAGTAGATGTTGTAGATAATAAAATTGGTGGTTGTTTGGTGTGTTTTTTGTTTGTTTCTTTGTTTGCTTGCTTTTTTTTAAGAAGGTTGTTTTTCTGTAGATAATCTTATTTTATGAACAGGCATTACTACTTTTTAACCAGTGAGAGCTGCTGCAAGTTCAATGTTCACCTCAGCAATTTTTGCAATTCATCGTAGAACTTTTGTCTGAGTTGAGTAGAAGATTTGCCATGGAAGACTACATTTAGTGACCTAATGTTAATTTGAAATTCAAGGTGTGAAGTTTCCTTTTTTTTAAAACAGGTTCTTTTCCACAGGTAACTGGTTTGGCTCTAGAAGTCAGTGTCCATGGACTAAGCTGTGTCTTAAGCAGTGCTCTGTATTGTCACTGTGTTCTCTTTTATGTAATGTTTTTAATGCCTCTGTTGCAACTGTTAATCAGCAAATGTTGAGTAATTTGGAATAAACCATATTGTAGTTGTGATAAATGCAAAAATGAAATATCAAAGCAAACTAAAAAGCCCCATTTGGTTTGCATACAAGACATGCATGGAAAAAATAGTGGATCAGAAAAATATGTTGTCTTCAGTTTCAGAATACCTACAAGTTCAGAAATCTGGAAGAATTAATGGAGAGGTGCTGAGACTTCATTTTTGCCAGTGGCCTCTGTGCTGTCTTTGGGAAGTCAGTGCCTGAGCACCTTCCAGTCAATGGCACAAAGTTATGATTCAGTAACTCTAATAAAAACACTAGTAAGATCATGTTAAATCCTCTTCCCCCTTAGGATGATCTTTCTTGAAAAGTTTTTCAGATTGGTTTGTCTTGGAAGAATATTAGTATGGCATGCAGCAAATAAAAATTGTGCATTGAGACCAAGTCTAAAAGATTTTTTTTGAATGAATGAATATTGCTGAAGGTAAAGTTTCATTCTCTGAGTTGGAATCTGTGTCAGCCATGAAACCAGGAATAGTGCGATTTTCCTCAGGCTCTATTGTACTTACAGAATTTATTGGAAACAATATAGAGGTCTGTCAACAGAAAGAATTCTGATATTTATTGACAACTAATACGTACAGATAATTTGAGTGTGTGGCAGAGAATATTATTTGTGTATTTGTTATGCAAATAGAACTCTATTCAAAAAGACAGGAAAAAATAGATTGTGACCTCTGAATGCTATCTTAAAGGGTAATTTATTATTTGAAGTGTCCAGTGTTATATATTTAATTTGGTCTCAGTCAGTTTTTCATTGCAGGAGGATGTTGCTGCAGAGAGGAAAAAACAGGCTGTAGTAGAACAAGTGATGGTCGATCAGTTATCTAGGTAAGGGAATTTATAATGTAACATTTCAGTTTTCCCTAAAGAAGAACTTAGATCTGTGAGTGTGTGGCTTTTATTGCCTGAGAGATGTGATCATCTCATTCCAAAGTCTTATGTAGTGTTATTATTTGCAAAATTTCTGTAAATTAAAATCTTGTTAATTTAACCTAAGAGATCAGTTTAAAGTGCTATGTGTAAGTTCATTTTTCTTCTGAGAGTAAGTTTTAATTTTGCACTTGAACCTAATTTAAGGGCTTTACAGTAGCACTAGTTCTCAGAAATAACCCTCTTGCAGCTCAACAAAATATATGGATTCCTGCTGTTACAAATTGCACTTTCTCAGTATTTATTGTCTTTTCTAAGAATTTTAGCTTTATTAATATGCCTTTATTAATACTGACATGGCATCCCTCAGGCATAAACAGTATGATACCAGTGTTGGGCAGGTAGGAAAAAAAGGCACAGTGATGAATGCAGTTATCAAGGTTATACACGAAGGCTCTCCTAACTTCATTGCTATCTTTTTAGCTCCAGTAAATTATTGCTTCCATGTAGAAAGATCCTTTAATATATAAAGAAGGGGAAAAAAAAGATGTAATAGCAAAATCATCTTTCCTTATAATTATTTTTATTATTCCCATAAATTTGTTCTCATTTTTAAGCAGGTTTTAATAATTACAGGCTTCTTCTAAGTTGTCTATTATGGCAATATGGGATGGTGCCATCTGGTTTAATATAGTTTCATGTTACCTTACTCTTGCTAAAAATTATCAGTGGGTAGGTTTATAGTGTGTTGCACTCTGTGCATCTCTGTAGTTATCTGTACTGATGATACAGCCCTTGATACAGTCTTAAGATACCATCTTGAGCCTTTGAAGTTGATTTTTTTTTTTTTTGAGGTTGAAATGTTGCACTTCATTCTGTTTTTTTCTTTGTTTCCCTTCCAACTGCAGTTTAAATTACTGTTATTTTTTAAGAGTCTATTAATGCTTTTACACTATTTAAAAGCAGAGATATCAAGAAAGTTGCCCAAAGGAAACAAGATTGCCATGAAACACAATGTTAAATTTAAGTGTTATTGTAGCAGGATTAAAAATATGGAAGTGTTCTGTGCAGAAATCCCCAACTTTGAAAGAAATGCTTGTCCTATGTCTTTTCTCTGCAAAGATACAGGTAAAGCAGATGATTACAGAGATCATCTTAAAAATGCACTGGTTGTGTTGAAGTGTTTGAGTTCTGCTGATGGTGGATTAAACATACAGGTTTGTGCATCTGGGATCACAGATGTTCATTCTGTGCTTAACCTCCTTCAGCTGTTTTGCCTTGTTTTTTTGTCAAAACAATATTTAGTAATGCTGTAGCTGCATCAGGATGAACTTGTAATTTAAAAAAATCTCTATGTTCCAAATATAACTGTGTCAGTACTGCCAAACAAATTGGTATCGGAGAGCTGGATGTTTATCAGATTAGTTCAAAACTGTTGCATGGAAAAAATCTATTAAAGGAAACACAAAGGTGTTCTGAGTTTTTTTTTTTTTTCCTTAGTAGAGCCAGTCTTGCAGTTAAATCAGTTTAACTGGTGTGTGCAAAGATGGATCTGCATAGATCAGAGAGCAACTTCATAAAACTGTTAGCCATGCAAAATTGTTTCTCTTCTTATTATGAACCATTTCAATAACATAAAAAGAATCTAATGTTTTTTTAAAGCGTCTCTTGTGTAATTGTTGAACTGATACAGAGAATATAAAGATATTTGGATATCAGTTCATCTTTGTCTTGTCTTCTTGATAGGACTTTGATATCCAACAGGCTGTGTAGTCAGTGTTTTAGAAGTGCCAGTGGTTTTGCTGGATGATGTTGCTGCCCATTACTAGTAACTGTTGTCAATGATTTTGGAGGGAGCTATGGATAAAGAAAGTCCATGATGGAATTTTTTTCAGAAATAGTGGAAATGAGGAAAAAAAAAACCAACCGTTTGTAACCCTAAGGTTTATTATATATACACATATAGAAAGAAAAATGTTTATATATACATATGTAAAATATACTTAAAATAATAGGTATATAGATGTAAAGTTACCACATAGTAGTATAAAGAATATTATTGCTTATGTTTGATTTGGAGTAATAGACCTCAAAACACGCAAAACCAAACAAAAAACAAGTCCAGAAATTTATGCTAGCTTAATGGATAACTCCAAGATTTTATTGTTGTGTTATTCTTGGGTGTTTTCTTTCCTGAGTAATATGTGAAATTCAAACTTACAAACAGAGGGCTTCTCTCTGGTCCTTCTGGGCAGAGCTGTTATAAGTGACCCAGAGCAATCCACACGTGCTGATGTTTGCAAGGAGGCTCATGGACTTGTGGGACCTGGAACAGCACCAATGCGTGTCAGAAAAAGAACTCTGCATGAAACAAAGTAAGTTTTTTTTCTCTAATTGTCTTCTTTTTTTTTTTTTTAAGTAGTACAATTTCTGCTGCATTTTTTATTATTTTGGGCTCTGTGAAGTCTGTTTGCCTTTCCAGATGTTTTATTTCTGCCTTTGATCCACTAGCTTCATGTGAAGACATTTTGTAGCCTTGCCATGCTTATAATTCGTGCCAGGATTAAGGATGCACAGAGAAAAATCCTTACCCTAGTTCAACCCTTTTTTTTTTTCATTTCTTTATTGAAAGGGCTATTAAGCCTATCAAGCCCTGGAACAGGCTGCCCAGGAAAATGGTTGAATCACTATCTCTGGATGTATTTAAGTCATGTAGAAGAAGTGCTTAGGGTCATGGTTTATCAGTGGACTTGGTAGTGTCTACAATTAGAATAATTTAGGTTAGAGAAGACCTCTAAGATCATCAAGTCCAACCATCAGCCCAACACTACCATGACCACTAAACCATGCCTTGAAGTACTATGTCCACATGTTTTTTGAACACCTTCAGGGATGCTGCCTGGGCAGCCTGGGCCAATGCCTCACCACTCTTTCAGTAGAGAAATTCTTCCTAACATCCAATCTAAACCTCCCCTGGTGCAACTTCAGCTCATTTCATCACTCCAACCTCCTTTCTGGTAGTTGAGAGCAATAAGGTCTCCCTTCAGCCTCCTCTCCTCTAAACTAAACAATCCCAGTTCTGCCAGCCACTTCCCCAGCCATGTTCCCCAGACCCTTCACCAGCTTTGTTGCCCTTCTCTGGGGACACTGCTGGCTCACATTCAGCCTGCTGTCCACCAGCACCCCAAGGTCCTTTTCTGCCAGGCAGCTTTCCAACCACTCCTCCCCGAGCCTATAGCATTGCCTGGAGTTGTTGTGGCCGAAGTCTAGGACCCAGCACTTGGCCTTGTTAAACCTCATACAGTTGACCTCAGCCTATTAATCCAACCTGTCCAGATCGCTCTGTAGAGCTTCCTGACCCTTGAGCAGATCAACACTCCCACTCAACTTGGTGTCATCTGCAAAATTACTGATGATGCACTCAATCCCTTCATTGAGATCATTGATAAAGATATTAAACAGGATTGGCCCCAAACCCGAGCCCTGAGGGACGCCGCTTGTGACCAGTCGCCAGCAGGTTTAACGCCATTCACCACAACTCTTTGGGCTTGGCCATCCAGCCAGTTTTAACCCAGCAAAGAATCCACCTGTCTAGGCCGTGAGCCACCAGCTTCTCCAGCAGAATGCTGTGGGAGATGGTGTCAAAGGCCTTATTGAAGTCCAGGTAGAAAACATCCACCACTTTTCCCTCATCCACTAGACAGGTCACCTGATTGTAGAAGGAGATCAGGTTAGTTAAACAGGACTTGCCCTTCATGAACCTGTTGGCTGTACCCAATCCCCCTGTTGTCCCTCACTCATGGCATGACCACAGTGAAGATGAACCGTTCCATGACCTTCCCTGGTACCGAGGTCAGGCTGACAGGCCTGTAGTTCCCTGGATCCTCTTTCTGTCCCTTATTGTAGATGAGTGTCACACTGACAAGCCACCAGTCGTCTGTGACCTCCCCCGTTAACTGCTGGTAAATGATGGAGAGAGGCTTGGCAAGGTCCTCTGCCAGCTCCCTCAGCACTTTTGGGTGGATCCCATCCAGCCCATTGACTTGTCAGTGTCCAGGTGGTGTAGCAGGTTCTTAACTGCTTCCTCCTGGGTTATGGGGGTGGGGTTTCTGCTCTCCATCCCTGTCTTCCAACTCAGGGGGCAGAATACCCTGAGGATAACTGGTCTAACTACTGAAGGCTGAGGCAAAGAAGGTGTTGAGTACCTCAGACTCTTCCTCATCCTTGGTGGCAATGTTCCCTCCTGCATCCAATAAAAGGTGGAGAGTCTCCTTGACTCTTTTTGTTGTTAATGTATTTGTAAAAACCTTTTTTATTACCTCTTACAACAGTGGCCGGATTGAGTTCTAGCTGGACTTTTGCCTTTCTAATGTTCTCTCTAATGAGTCTATGATTCTATAATTGCCTAGTGGGACTTTATTTTTTTTAAAGTAGGTTTTCTGTGTTTAGTGATTGATTCATAGACTTTATAAAACCTGGGAGAACATTCTTAAACTTATATTTTTCATCACAGGCTTTTACTGGCCCTTTCTGAGCTGTTGAATGCTTGCAATCTTGTCGTATCCTTTTAGAAATTCCTATCCTGAGGTGCATAAAATTGTGTTAATATGCATCTGTAAATGTTAATGTAGATCTTCACAACATAATCATACTTTTCCTTCATGTTTTGAATTCTACTGCAGTAATTAAGCATACTGGCATTTAAGTGTTATTCCTGGCCTGTGAGCATTGAAATTGTAACTCCAAGGGCTTAAGAAAACTGAGAAAACATTGAGATGCATAAAATTAATTGAATCTGCAGGTCTGACTTTTCTTCTGTTAATCTTTCTCAACATGCAGGCAAACATCAAATGCCATCTTTGCATTCTTAAAAAAGACAAACAACCAAACCAAAAACAAGGCACCAAAACCAGTCTCAGTCCCTTACACCCTTCACATGCACAAATCTGCATTTCTGGAACTAGTAATATGGCCAGTATAAAATATCTAGGTGGGTAAATAAGCCCCAGCTTGGATATTTTTGCAGTGTTTGGTGGAAGTGTGGTGGGTGATAGAGGTACAATTTGTGATATAGGCATATATAAACAAAATATCCCATTGATATCTCTGCCTTCTGTCGACGTGCTCTTATGTGATGAGAAAACACCTTCCACATTACAACTCTAAGTTCTTTCTAATTCAACTATGAGTGACCATCTCCTCAGCCAGTTGCCAAGGATGCTGTATTTCACTTTTTTTTACTGTTTTGAAACAGGTTATTTTTATGTAACACTTCTCTGTGAGCATATAGGTATCCTTAACATGCTGCATTATTTTCACAGAATAAGGACCGAATCAGGATTAACTGAAAACATGCTCTCTAACAAGCTACGCTTTGACAGTAGGATTATATCAAGGTGGTAATAAATTTTGTGAAGCTTTTCAATTCTTTGAATTTATGAATGATGAACTTTGCCCTCTTGAAATAATTGATTGCACTGAACCTTTCTGTTCCCTACGTTTAGAAAACAGTATGTGCTGTCTAGGTATATAAACTCATGTAATACAAGTTTTGACATGGTAACAGCTGATTAAATATTATTTTAGTATTAGTGTGTGGCAACCACTGGATGGAAAGGAAGGCTTTGTGTCTTGTTTGTAGCTCCTTAGGTATTAAACTTTCTGGTTTAGGGTGTCTTTGCAGCTGTTCTGAGTGGAGTAGCAGTGACACAAACAGATCCTTTATCTCTGGACTGGTGCTTTTCTAAAGCATTGAGCTGTATACTCATTGGACATAGCTGAGGATTCAGCCACACAGCCTCATATACCATAACAAATGCAGTAGTCCTGGTGTAAGTCATCCTTTAGTTAATGAGTGAAAATTACATTGGTATACTAAACCACAAAGCCTTGAAAGTTATTTTTAACATTATGGAGAAAGGAATATTGCCTTACAATATGTGTGTCCATATCCAGAAGCTGAATTCCTTGGTGGTTTAGAGAAAAGAGAAGCCTCTTTCAAAGAAAAAAAATCGTGTAACATGCAACATTGCAAATAAAATGCGTATTCCAAAATAAATGTTATTTATGTTTGGGTTGAATTGGATTTATATGGGTGAAAAACCATAAAGATGCTTTTCTATTTTCCTTCTAGAAATGGTCATGATGCTTGTAGAGAATTGATTGGATTTTTTTTTGCATGTGACAGATCCCTCACTGTGTATGAATTTCGTCAGTTTGGAAAAAATAGGTGGGATAAATTACTTTTTAAAAGGTTTTAGAAAATATCTTCTGTATCTAAGAAACTTAAATAAGTTTAATTGTTTTAATAACAGTTTTGAATTATTTCACAGAACAAATGTCTTGCCCTTCATTCAGAAGGGAGTTTATCAACATCAACGTGGACAACGGAAAGGAAAAGCTTATGATCTTAGTGACTTCTATATTGTAAGTAATCTTCAGCTTGGTTGTAAGGCAATTTTATTGGTGATATGGAAGTAACATTTAGGTATTCGAGCTGAAATTTGTGATCTAGCTTTCAAGGGAGAGCAGAAGTCTTTCCCTTCACTAACACTTTTGAATTAAGGATTTCAGCAGTCTGGATTGTTTGGCCGTCCCACATTTTAGAGGTTCCATTTTTAGGTTCAGATTAAGGTGTAGTCTGCAATTTTCCCACAAGAGGGCATAAGACTGCAGACAGTGTAGACCTTTTGTAGCCAAAATGAACAGCTCTGGAAGGAGAGTCTTGAAGAGACAGTAGACCCAATTACGTGTTAAAAATTAATAATTTTTATAACTTTTGCTGACATTTTTGACACAAGGAACTGAATAAATATATTTTTAAACATGAGTAAATTGCAGGTCAATTATTTTTTAACCTAAAGTTTGAAAAAGCTGTTTCAAGGAGAGCTTTTGAAACAATGGTAAACTTCAATTACCAGCTAATCTGATGATTGGCTACAAATCGTATTGCATCTCCTGTACTGCTGTACTTCTGTACTGGCTTATGTGTTCCTGTTGTATGAATACCTGAGCCATTTTTCAAGTAACGATTGTTTTCTCTAAGCTCTTCACATCCTCCTGCAAATCTTTAGAGCAAAACCCACCATGTTTGAATGAGTTATTGAAAGTAAAAGGAGACAACATTAGTTTTTAAAGTGTTTTTTCTTGTCACCTGCCTAATTGTAACTGTTTACATGTTATGATATAAGATTTTCTGTGCTTAAATAGATTATTTTCTTTATGGTATGGAGATTGAGGCTATTTTTTAGATTTTTTAAAAATTTTTTTAATTGTCATGTGTGTCTTTGCAACCTGCAGATGGACATGTATTCTGAGTAAAGATGTGTCTTAAAGCCACCCAGAAAATGTACGGCTGCTGAGTTGTATAGCTCTTTAGAATGACATTTTATCTGTCTATATCTGCAAGCTGGGTTTCTAGGCTACATTAAGATATACAGATCTCTCACAAAGTCCAAGTGGTTGAGACACTTGCACAATAACAGTGTCTCTGTCTTCTTCCTAATTTATGAGTTTTGGAGGCTTTATAACCTAAGCCTGCATGGATTTTACAGTTAGAGGTGCTGCTTTTTTTGATGCTTCTCAGCATTCTTTGCTTTTAGTTTGCTACTGTTCTTTCTCTCCCCTACACACTTTTCCCAAAACAAGAAGCATCTTTAACTTTGTAGAATGTAGGAGATGTGTCTTCTGTCCCCAGCTTGGAGGCAAGGGAAATTTGTAATACTCTGAAGAGACTATGCTGGGTAATAGAACTCTGTGCTACTAATAACATAATTTTATTCAATATTTATTAGTGAAATCTAGGAATTTTAAAGAATACTCTTATTGTTCAACACCGCAGGAATTATTTGAACTTTGGGAAGGCTACTTTTTAGTTGTTTATCTCAAGCATGGTTTTAGGTTGTTCAAAATAACTGTGGAGGCTTTCTCTTTACTCTCATGGAATCAATGTGGCACCTTCTGTGACTCTCTTCCGTGGTCCAGTGTGGTTTGATCCCATAAGGATGAAGGGAGGAGAAAAATTGGAAGAGTAGAGCCTGGCTGAGGGAACAACAATCTGTAATCTCATGTTTCTCAGCTATAGATTAGACAGCATTAAGCCCTATTAATTAGACAAACCTCTATGCAGAGGATAATGTGTCATTTTGGAGCCTGCGGCTGTTTTTATTTAGTACTAGCAAGGCTCTCTTAAGGTTAACTGATCTTGGCTGCCCTTTTTCATTGTTTCATACCAAAGCTGTTAACAATCACTTGAAATTCTTGCACAGTGCATCTTACAGAATACACAGACTCATTGTAAACCATTGTATGCTTTTCCAACAGGGAGCTAATTTAACTTTCCGAAGTGCTGATCATAACCTTCCAGAAAGTGTTAAGCAGAACCCATTTCTTACCCTTCGTGTCATAAGTATTGATGAAGCAGCTATGGATTTTCTCAAGTAAGTGCAGCTAACTTTTTCAAATTACCTTTTCTTCCTTACACAAAAAAGATGTGTTTTTCATTGTTGGTTTTTGTTTTTTTTTTTTAATAAGAGCTTCTAACATCTTCTTACTCAGACTGCTAAAAAAAAAATAAAATCTGTGTTTAGGTTGTTAGGGGACATTAGATGGTAATAGATGTTAATGTATGTTCTGTAATTAGGTAATATTCTAGAATAATGAGTACCTAACACAATAATTAATTAAGTTATTAAACTGTCTTATTTGCTTTGTTTGAAGTCAGATGTTTTTATATATAAATCATATACTGAAAACTTATGTGATAAGCTACTACTGCTGGGGAAAAATGCTTTGCTTTGATGATGAATACTATTATTATTGAATCTTTCATGAAACTTATGGGGAAAGCTTGTATCATTTGAATACGGGTGGGGAAAGGGTTGAAAGTTTCTCTCTCTTCTTTTTCTTTTTTGTTTTTCTGCCTCTTTCTAGCTTTTCATTCTTCTGGGTATTGCCCCATGTTGAAGACTTCAGGCACTGGGACAAGGCTCCTGGCACTTATTCTTTCAAAACAGGTTCTAGTACACTATGCTGTTCCATAGTCTGAAGGATGGCAATTTTTTCTAGAACTTTTTCAAATGGTTAATCTTTGAGTATGTGTTAATTTTGAAGGTAATATTCTCATCTCAATATCTGTACAGAAGTAAACTGTTGAGGGAACAAAGCATTTCTCTCTGGTGTTTCTGGCTTTTATTTTGACTATATGGGTTCTTGGCACAAATAAAATAGTGGTATAAAATTTATCACACTGCTGTGTTGCCTGAACGCCCAAGTTACTTAACAGTGTTGGAAATACAGTCAGAATTTGATTACTCAAATGTCAGTGAGGAGTGTTAGCCGAGAGCAGATGTTACAAGGCAGAAATTTTCCTAAAATCATGGAAATATATAAGGGACCTCAGGGGTGTCTCTGGCCCCTGCCCTTCTGTTCAGAGCAGGGTTCACTACGGCAGGTTGCTCAGAGCTGCATCCAGTTGGGTTTTTTAATATCTCCAAAGATGGAGACCCTGCAACCTTTGTGGGGAACCTAGTTCCAGTGTTCAGTCACCCTCCTTGGTACAAAAGTGTTTCCTGATGTTCAGAGGGAACCTCCTGTGTTTCAGTTTGTGCCTGTTGCCTCTTGTCCTGTCACTGGGCTACACCCATCAGAGCCTCGGTTTTCTTTACTGCCTCCTGTCAGGTATCTATACACACAGATAAGATCCCTCAAGCCTTTCCTTCTCCAACATAAACAATTCCAGCTCTCCCAGCCTCTCCTCACGTACCAGATGCTTCAATCCCTTCTTGATTAGGAACAGCAATAACAGAATCTCAAATAAATATGTTCAATATCTAAAGACTACTTTTGTTAAGAAAACTTAACTGACGATTATTTTCCTTTCTGCAAGTGTTTAGACACATGAAGCTTGTTCTCAGGGTAACATTCACTTTAAGGTCCCTTTACACCTAAAGCTTTGCAAAGGAGCTGTAGTGAGCTAACAGTATATAAAACAGTAAATTTAAATGTAATTGGTTATAGAAATACATAGTTCTGTGATGCTTAGTGCTAATCTTTCCCTCTCTGCAAGGCTTCCATGGAATAAAACACAATATAGTTTAACCTCAGATAGTTTATGTAAGACATTTTACATCTCAGAAGCCTATCGTTCTGACAAACAGCTTTTTCTTTCATTTGTTGCTATTTTTATATCTGTGAAATTTTGGAGTTGATCCAATGTTATCTCTGAAGCCTCCGGAAAGAAGACCTGCTCACTGAGTTATAATTTTTGATTTTCTGCTACCTGTGGTGGAACAGATTGTTTCTTTTTTATACTCTCTCTCTGTGTTCTTTCCATTATTGACTGAATTTCAGATTGTGAAGTCTGTCTTCTTCTGGATGGGGGTGTCAACTGAAATCTGTATTCTCTGGTGCAAAAATCTTGAACTGAGTCCTCTTACCTTCATTACTCACAGAATCCTACTCGGAAACAGTCCAGAAGGTCTATTGCAGGTTTTCAGGAGCAGCTATGCCCTGCTGTCACAAGCCATGAATCTTTTGGTTTGCATGTGTTTTAGAGAGAGTACCTTGTCCTGTGTAGGCAATTGTTGACTTTCCAGTTTAAGTGTTTTGATATTGGCCTGGTTTCAGCTGGGACAGAGCACTAGTTACTTCCTAGTAGCTGGTACAGTGCTGTATGTTTGATTCAGCACGAGAATAATGTTAAGAACATGCCGATGCTAAATAGTACTTATCCTGAGTCAAGGATTTTTCAGTTTCCCATGCTCTGCCAGTGACATGCACAGGAAGCTGGGAGAGAGCATGGCCAGGATAGCTCACCCAAACTAGCCAAAGGGATATTCCATATCCCCAGCTGGGGGGGTTGGCTTGGAGGGGCTGATTGCTGCCTGGGAGCTGGCCCAGCAACCATCAGCAGGTGGTAAGCAACTGCATTGTCCATCATGGGCCTTTTCTTGGCTTCTATTTCTGTCTCTCTTTTTGCTATATTAATTTTCATTGGTATTGGTATTAGCATTGTTATTATTTTAGTTATTAAACTGGTTTTATCTCAACCCACAAGTTTTACTTTTTTGTCAGATTCTCCTCCCCATCCCATTGGGAAGAGGGAGGAGAGAACAAGCGGCTGTGTGGTGCTTTTTGCCAGTTAAGAGTTACAGCACACAGATACAGGCAAGTTTTCACTTGAGAGTAGAAAGTATTTTCTACTCTTAATAGGTAGCAGAAAGGTAAGTCTTTCACCTCAAAAAGCAGAAGGAGGAGTATTCCATGGTAGAGCACTGGTAAGCAAGCAGCTCAAAGTTGACAGTAGTGATTTTCCATTTGCCTTCCTATTCTCATTAAAATAATTACATTTTTTTTTTTTTCTGGTAGGTTCTTCCACAGTATCTTTTTGTCAGCCTTTTTAATAATTTCTGATGGGGGCTTCTGGGTAGCCCTTCTTGGAAGGGAACTTGCCAGAGAAAACACAAAATTTAACCGTAATTTCTAGATCGCACCTAAGATATGCTGATCCAGCTTTTGGTCTATACTCTTTCTACTCTAAAGAGAGATTGTGGCTACTTCATGTTATTTAGTTGGTAACCAGATGCAGTAGCCTTAACAAACTCTTTTAGTGGCATGAACTGGAGATCAGGACTGTCTTGAAATACATTTCTGGAGATCTTACGCACAGGAGAAATTATTCATGATTAATGAATTAGCAGAAGAGCTGCTAAAGGAGTATTGTCAGAAGGGAATTTCTACAGAGCTGCAGCTGTTCAGCAAGGACTTTTGTATATGCCATCTCAAACTCAAGCACTTGAATACTATAAGAACATAAGAATACTATAAGAATGTAGAATAATAATAAATAATAAATGTAAAGTTCAATATGCTTTTTACTACAGCTATTTTGAATTCAGTAATTTTACATGTAATTTCACCAATCAACATTAATTCTGATTATTTTAGAGCTTCTGTGGAATTCAAGCAAGAGTGTTCCAAGCGAGTGGTTGATGACAGCGAAGTTTTCAAGAAGATTCAAGGTTTGTGTCTACCAGAACCCTTTAATTTTAATTTCTATGTCTCTGCCTTTACAGCCAAATGCAAAGAACAATAGTGACATTATAAAGATTTTATTTGTATAAATTATATTAAACAACAGTTAGATATTTATTAAAATATTATTAGAATCATATACCAGCATTAATCAATCATAAGAATACTTCCTCCTCTCTTTCTTTAAATAGTCTAGCTAGAGATGATGGAGATGTTACAGAATAATTGTGAATGTAATCAATAAAACATTAATCTCTGTGTCTACATAATCTCAAAAAAAATGCTGAAATAATGATTGAGTAGTATAATCTGGAATATGTAAATAATTTTTATTAGGTTCCTGCCTACAGCCTTTAGGAGAAAGGCATAGCTTTGTGTTTAAAATTATGGAAAGATGTTTATGCAGTGATGTGCATGATCTTTGTAACCTGTGGTCAACAAAAACTGCTGAACTGAACAGCTTGCAGCTTGTAGAATCTCCACTCTTAGCTAAACCTATTTCAGGTAGGCACTCTTTGGTTGCTAAAATCTACTCGGACATTTTCTTTTAAAAGAAATGTTAGAATAATAATTAGGGATATTTTTTAACTTCCTGTTACTCCATTTTTTTCCCCCCTCGCAAAGTAGACACAAATTGATTTGTCATTTATCTGACTACACCTCAGGTTTGCTGGTGTGGCCTGGAAGAAGGTTATGTGTACGTACTGCAAGACATCTTTTAACACATCCGAGTATGAACTTCACTGGAAAAAACTTCCTTCTTTCACTGCCCCCCTATTTTGCTTTATAACTGCAGATACGAGTAATTTGAAGATATAATATGATAATAGCAGATGACTTCTGTTAACAGAGTATCCCCAGAAACTCAGACATCCCTAAAGTCCCTAAACCTGCTACTGATGGGTTTTGATGAGGCTGTCGTTTTTACCATAGAAATAGTTCTCTGCATATCATTTTGGAATGATTTTGCAGAATTACTCATTCTTGTTTTCACATGTATTTAATTCATTTGTACAATGACAGAGCAACTCTGCATCCCACAATAGAGTGTTTATTTTACCAAAGTAATGTTCCTAAGTTGCTCTGTATTTTGAATCATGGTATATAATTGATTCTAGCAGAAGTAAATAGCTTTCTAATCTGAGCACGTAGAGGGCAATAGCCATTCTTCTTTTCCTTCTGTGATCTCTTTAAAAGTTTCATTAGATGTTGCTTCTGCTTTATACTATTTCTACTCAAATATTAAGTAACTGAAAGTTTTATTTTGAATTGCCATTCTCTCACCAAAGGTAGGAGAGCCTGAATGCATGCGTATATGATTTTAACCAGCAGTATCCTAAGTAGCCATGATTTTGTTTACTTTTATATCAGCTCCATAGCAAGAGGCACACTTCAGGTAAACGTTGTGTCCTTTATTTCTCTAAATCCTCAGGTATACTCAGAGAGACACTAAGTAAAAGAGGAGTTCGAGTTATAATGGGCTTAGGAAAGTATTTCCGACAAGTAGACAAAAACAGAAATGGTTTTCTCTCTCAGGCAGCCTTTAAAGAGGCTCTAAAAGTATTCCATTTGGAAGTGCCTGAAGGGGTAAGTCTAGCTGAAACTGTAATAAAACTGTAATAATGAGTATTATTTTAAATTTACGGAATCACTTCTTTTCTTTGCTTAAATCTATAGTTTAATAGCTGGCACTTTCTTTTTGGCTTTTTTTTTTTTTTTTATTTCCTTGTGGTATACTGGCATTTCTGTGTTTGGTTCTATGTGAAATTATTTAAAAAACAAATAAATTTAGAAGCACACAATCTTTTTACATCATAAAGAAGCAGTTGGGATTGCAATCAATTTTTTTTCTCATTTGGCCTTTTAAAAATTATTCAGATAATGCTATTTACTTATCTTTTTTTTATTTTTAGGTATTATGTTTTAAAAATAGCCCATAGGTATTAGAACTGCAAATACTGTACATTATGGTCATCAGTGACTGATGATGACTTTGCATTATTTTGACAACTCTTTGGATTGAAATCACTTTGGATTTGGAAGTTGGTTTTTTTTGTGATAATACTATAATTTACTATTAAAGAACTTTTTATTCTAGCACATAGCGAAGAACTTTGACAAAACATTTTAAAATTGCAGGACTTTGAATCCTTATGGCTTATTCTTGATGATAGCAAGAGTGATAAAGTTGACTATGGAGAATTTACACGTGCTGTAATTGGAGAAATGAATGAATATAGGAAGGCATTTGTAAGAAAAGTAAGTTTGGTTGCAGATGTTCTAAGTGTAAATATTATGCAATGTAACTTTGGAGTTAATTGTTTGTCATGTTGCATGGTGTTGTTTTGTTTGTTTGTTTTTTTCCCCTGCTGTTTTCCTGAAACTGTGCATCTAGTAATTGACTTCTTAAACTGTATGCTGTTCCATTGTTGAATTACTTAATTATAAACCTTAGAATTATTTCCTTTATTATTTTTGGTTTGTGTTGTGTGCTGTTCATACAGTTCAGCCCAGTCCAGTGTATAAAGCACATGGCGCACTGAAACTATCTCTTCCAGAAGCCTATTTCCTTATTTTGGCAGATGACTATATCTGTGTGCAGACACTTTTCCCCTCAGTGTCTGAAACAGGAGATAATGACACTTGCCTCCTTTGAGACCTACAATGGGAGTCAATGTATTGGTGAGACTTCTTTATTTGAAACACCATTTGTTATATGCCTGCAATGTAACATGGAGACATTTGCAGTATGAAACACTGATTGCAAACCACCCCACAGAGTAGGAGCTAGTTAGGAAGATGAAGAAAAATGACGTAGATTTTCATACTTCTAATTATGGAGGATGTCCTAGCATTGTGCATTGAGTGTGTGTATTCGAGCAGACTGAAATGAAAACAAAGCTGCTGTTAGCAGTGCTGAAGAGCCTTCTTGAGGCCTCTGTTAGAATGAGCAGAAATCTTAGTAATTGCAGGAGGCAGAAGGGAAGCAGCTTAACTTCTGATTCTAAGGATGAGCTAGAAACTTTGTTGAGAAGACAATTTTTTTTTTTTTTTAAGTTGCTGAGGGGAACATGCTTGATGTGAAAGTGGTTGAGATAATCATGAAACTCCATAGTCTGCAATAATTTTCTGGTATCTGGTGCCTTACATAAAATGTGCAATGTATTATTTGAATTCACCTAAGATCTACAAGTATGTGCTAGGTAGTTAAATATATTTGGTCTTTACAGCTTACCACTTGTTTTCCTTATATGCTTACATGAAACTCTTTTCCCTTATAGGCTTACATGAAACTAGATTTCAACAAAACTGGGAGCGTGCCTATGGTAGATATCAGAAAATGTTACTGTGCAAAGAAACACCCCCTAGTACTGGCAGGTAATTCACATGAACAACAGCAAGAAGGTTGTAACTGCTGAAGTTATCTTGCTGGCAGAGATACCAGATTCAGAAACTGATGGCAAATACAAACTGGTTTCCTCCTGGCTTAGACTTGAGCTGTTAAGGAGAATCTTTTTTTCCCTCTGACCTGTACTGTGACTATCTGGAACATGACTATAAATAGTAACGAAGTTCATATACAGAATCATAAATACTTGCTTTTTATTAAGCTGCAGACAGTGCAATACATACATACTACCTGTGCAGGTCTACATTTAAGCAGTTATTTCTCAGCTTTGGTGTATAAGTTATCAGTGATACATATGATATTAGTAATTTGCGCTTAGGAAGATACTCTCATTTTCATATTACTGTTTTCCATCAAAATATGCAAGGTTTCCAACTGACACTGAAGGTACTCAGCTGTTGATGTTCCTTCTGGATAAATTATTCATTTATTTCTGGGGCAGGATTGTCATCCTTTACAGAGGAAACGTTAGTATCTTCATTATTTTTTCAAAATTCTTAAAAACTGTTTAAGCTCTGCCATTGAAAAAAATAAGAGCTTAAATATTTGTATGTCAGTTTCTAAAATAACATCTCCTTGTCCCAAACTAGTCACTGTGAAAGTCTCCCTAGTGTGATGACCTTTGCAGTTTTAACTGTAGAAGAATGTTTTTTGTATTGCCAGTGTTTTTGTAATAACACAGGAAGACACATGGTTGTATAGGATTGTTATACATGCAATTTTTTTCCAGTGCTATAATGCTAGATTTTTTTTCTATTTTTCTGTCAGTGCTGTGAAATCATCTTGAGTATAATCTTTATGAAGTGACTAGTACACATATGTAAATTGAAGAACAGTTTTTGAATGCAAACTTGCATCTTAAGCTTTTCCTCGAGCTTTGAAATTGTATTAACAGTAAACATGCTTCATTACAGGATAACTTCTGAATTACCAAAATTTTAATTTACAAATGTGCTATTCAGTTTTTACAGTCATTTGAAGAAAATAATCTTCCTGATACCTTAATTCATTGAATCATGTTTCTGGTGGTATTTTTGTTGGTTTTCAATGCTGTCATGTTGTATTAAAGTAAGGTGATTTCTGCAACTGGTATTAAGTGAGTCAATAACTCCAAAATCAGAATATTGAATTTGTTCAAGAAAAAAATATTGGCATGCTATAATTTGAAAGTTTCTTGTCTGAAGTATGTTAAATGCTATATAGTCACTGTTGTTTATAATGTATTTAATAGAATAATATACTTTCACAGGCAAAGCTACAGAAGAAGAAATTACATCGTCGTTTTTAGAAACATTAGGAGAGTCCTGCAGCAACCCCAGTGAAGTGTCCTATGCCGAGTTCGAAGATTACTATGAAGGATTAAGCATTGGAATCCTGGATGATGATGATTTTGTTAATATCTTGAGGAACCCTTGGGGAATTTAGAGTGGAAGACTGCAAAAATGAAGAAGAGACATTTTCTAAACAAGAGTGAGCTTAATAAGGGAGGATTTAGTCTTGATGTGCGTTACTTCAGAATTAGTGTCTTAAACTGATTTCAGGGACTGAAAATTTTAGGTGCTTTCAGAATAATACATGGCAAATTTCTTAGAGTGTCTGTTGAGCTATGCTAACCACTTTTTTAATATAAATGCTGTTCATTCCTTTTAATTTGAATTAATAAAAGCTGTTTCCCATTCCAGAATGCATAATTTACTTAATATTAGAATAAAGTGGCCTATTTTAAAATAAGAGGGAATTAGAATACTAAAATGCATGACAGGATATATGCAACAGAAAATTTAGCTTTATGATGCATTGCAAAAAGCTTTAGATTTGACTGCATAAATATCAGTGGTAGCATTTCCTGAGAGTTCTCCTCTTATAAAAGTGACATGTTTAGTCTTATAACAACTTTTGTCTCAGTTCTTGTTTCTTATGCTGGTACTTAGCTTGGAAGAGAGCAGGTCAGGCTTTTCCAGTTTGGAGGATGCTTGCAGTAGTGAAAGCACAGAGGTGTTCACACCAATTAGCCCTCTGGCCTGTGGACCATGGTGACTGATCTTTTTCATCTTGGTCAGGCATCTGAGGCCGAACAGTGAATTCCAAAGGTTTTAATAAGCGAACATATATATTTTTGTAATGCACTTTTTCCTTTCCTATATTTTGCTAAGTGGTTTTCAAAACAAGTAATTTATGTTAAATATCTGTTTTTTTTTACTTTGTATTTCTGTGATTTTTTTTAAAAACTAAAACTTAGCGATGATATCCTTTGTCAAACTGATATATAGCATTTCCTATCCACTATGAAAGTATGAAACAGAAAAGTGTGAAAAAAAAATAAAAGAACTAGCTCTGTCACAACAAAAATGAAACCATGAATTAAAATATTCATTGCTACTCCAAATATTCACCCAGATGTGCTTTTCAATGTAATGCATTTTGTTAATTCTTTGTGTTAATTGTTTCTTTACAAAATAAACAATGTATTGTATATCTAGAAAGAGATAGCCTTTGGTTTTCAGTATCCCTGTCACCAAAAATAACAATATTGAGCTGCACTTCTCAAGCCTATGCAATTAAAATATAATAGTTTCCTCTGTGCTTGTCTGCCTGGTTTTGAGTTTATAGTCTGTGGTTAGCAGAACCTTCCTCTGAGATAATTTGTGTTTCATAGGAATTTAAGGGAAGTACTAGGATGAATTCTGAAATGAGGGACTTTGGTCCCTCTGTGGCTGACTGGTTTACTCTAGATACAGCACTTTCTTGTTCTAAAAGCCTGTGCATTACTGTGTTTTGATTGTTTGCACCTTGTCCTCAGTTGTAACTAGAATTGAAGTTTCTGCTCTAAACTCTTAAATGAGGAATTTGGTGGTGTTCTCTTGGGGCTGAAAAAGTTTGTACGAATTGGTTTAGAGAAAAAGGCAAATTCTGTCAGTGCTTATCCTAAGCAAGAATTCTGATGTGGCTCATGACCATTTTCTTACTCCCCATTACTGCTGGAATTTCACTTGCTGGGAAGATGCTGTTAATTAGCGTTCTTGGAATTGATAATTCTGTGAAGGGCATCTTGAGCTTGTTTCAAGGGATCTGCTTGTTAATGTATCTGTTCAAATAACTGAAAAATACCAAGTGGCATTTTTATTAGTTTTTCAAAGCATCGCCTGCTCTCTTTAGACTTGTTCACTTAGAAGACTCATACCAAGGTATAAAATTGTAGCTCTATTTAATAAATGTAGCAATCATTGTGAAGTGATGTATTGACATATTTCTTTTTGCAATGCTTAATTTTTTTGTGATGCTTTTAGGAAGATTATTCCATGCTACCTTATGGAATGGAAAAATTGATGACCAGTGGATGTATCCTTAAGTGGGCCTGCTTATCAGCAGAGGCTATATAGGTCATACCTGCTGCAAATTAAGTGCTCTTTATTTTGTTCTTATCACTAAAATGAGGTACTGTAATAGCAACATTATTTCCATAGCTCTTGTAGTCATACTTCTTTTTGGTTTTTTTTTTTCTTAATCTGAAGACAGATCCTTAACAGGGCAATCTATGATAAATTCTAAAGGTCAGAAAGTGCCTGAAAATACAAGCAGGTACTCTGGTAATTATGTAAAACCTGCTAGGTATATAATTTCTATTAACAACAAGGTCAGCTATGCACCACAGGCTGCCTCAAGACGTCAGCTATGATGCCTACTAATTTTTTTTTTTTTTTTTAATGGAGTTCACAAGAGTCACTTTCCATGTGCCAACTGTTTTTCATTGTCTAAACTTAAAATGGTGACAAGGAATTCAAACCAACTTCTACCCGAGGCTGGGCCACTGTGCTTACAGTTAGCAGAAAACCACAGAAACTGTATTCAAACCAGGGTCTGTGATGTCTTTCTTTTCATTACATGGTGGTCTCAATGCCCTGATTAATCACATTCGGATTTGCTCTTATTTGCTTGTAAATGTTTGAATGTGAATCTTTTTCTTTGATCAATGCTTTGTAGTTTTAAAACTTTCTGGAGATGTCTACTAGGGTTTACTGCCTTTAAACATGTGTAAACCAAAGCTTTTTCTACATTTGCTACCTTTCTCAGAATTGCCCCATGTTTTCTGAATTAGGATGTGTTCTTAGAAGTGGTGTTCTTGGAGAAGCTGTCTGCCTTCTTTCCTGAAACTCACTTCTTAATAAAACTAGTTGTCTTTATGCCAGTCTGATTTGCACCTCTGCTAAGAAGTCTTGGCAACCTGCTGGAATTGAGAATTTCAGAAGTGCATTATGCTGCAAACATAATTTGTCCTATTAGATGGCTCACGCTCCCAGAAGACAAGTGGAAACTAATGATATGATGCAACTCCTCATTCTCCAGGTCTTTGACCTCTTTGTCAAATGAGTACACACTGGCAATGTTAGCTGGAATGTTTAAGAGCATTTTTAAAAAGCAAAACACAGGCACACCTGCAAAACTTCAGTAGCTTCACTTTGTCAGCTAACAGAAGTATGGCATCCTCACCTAGGGCAGCTTTGTTACTCAGGGGAGATAATCTTGTGGTTTCTCATCCACGAAATTATTTCTCTTCTATAAGAGTCACTGCCAGCTGATCAAATTTTGTGGGTGTTTGGGGCCAGAAAAACAAAAAGATTAAAAAGGTATCCACCAATGTGTGTTCATATGAAGGTGCTGTTTGGTTTTGGGGTTTTGTTTGTTTGGGGGGCTTTTTGGGGGAGGGTTGTTTGTTTGTTTTGGTTTGTTTGTTTGTTTGTTTGTTTGTTTGTTTTGTCTTCTGGATTTTGGAGGACTTAGTTATTTGGTTTGTGGCTTGGTCTGGGGTATTTTGAGCATGCTATCTCTTGACAGCAAAAGAGAAATCATAGAACTGATTTCTTCTGTATTATTTGTTGAGTCCAAGAAAGAAAACAAAGCAGGTAAGTTTGTGGCAGAAAAAGGGGAGGTAGAAAAGCACATGCTTTTTTTCCTGGATATTACTCTAATAATTTTTCCTTCCTCTCCTTCACACTCAGCAATTTAGAGACTGAGATAATACTGTACTCGCTTTTCATATTGTTAACTGTCTTGTCTTTGAGAAGCTGTCAGAAGGACTCTGTTGTAATCATGAGACATCCTCAGTGATGAAAGAGGCAAGCAGTATTTCCTTCCGTCTATTTAAGCTACTTTATCCACAGAGAATGTTTCAAAATATTAACTGAACTGGAAGGTACTTAGGAAAGAAAGGTGGTAAGACGGTATGTACATGACAACACTTGGAAATGTTTTGGTTTGTGGCTCCTATGTTTTTGTTGCAGCACTTCTCAATTGTGGGAATCAAAAGGCTTAAAGATGATACAAAGTACCCTTCAGGGGAAAAAAAAAAAAGTTTATCACAGTTTTCTTAATGTTTATTATAGCATCCCTTGTGTTTACTTGGAAATTTATAGTATCTAGGTACCTGTTTCCTGGCTTTTTTACTTCTCACTCATGTTGTAATTGGTGTTGTAGTTGGGTGGTGTTATAATTAGATTTGTGCATGGAAACATCTGTGGTGTTTGCTCCTGGCAGAATTTTGTGTCCAGCATCCCCAGAGAAGCAGCTTCAAAATAAGAAAAATAATAGTTATTTCTTTGTGATTTGATTTTTTTCTGCAGGCTGCATTCTTCTGAAAGAGGTTTAATATTTCAGGATCTTTTTGCTGGTTTGTGTATTATTCAGCATGTGTCTTCTGACCTTTTGCTGTCATTTCCCCTCCCAGTTTTAGGAGAAGAGAGGAACCTGACAGACTGGAAAAGGTTGAAGAAAAATGGTATTTAGGGGTGCTGCCTACGTATCTTGCTAATGAGGATTCCTCTGCTGGAAACTTCATACTGCTTTTGAACTGCCCTTTTGAGTAGTTGGAAAGAACCTCTTTGGCAGACTCCTTCCAGGTACCAGAAATGATGATATAAAGACCTGAGAGACTCTCCCCTTAGCCAGCTAGGACCAGCAGGCAGGCTCTCACACACACTGGTGAGAAGAAGGGCTAACTAACCTCGTGGCTGGGAGAGGCGAAGGCGCCTGTGTCAGTCCCAGTGCCCACCTCTGAAAACTGCTGCAAGGGTGGGCTCCTTTCATAACCTTTCTGGGAGAGGCCTGTGAGAAGGAGACCTCTTGCAGACATTACCTACCAATGAGCCTTTGCAGAGCTAGAAGACAAGGACTGTCCCTCTCATGGCGAAGCTGGTCTTTCTAGTAACTTTCCAAAATGTCAGCCTCTTAAATACTGTCTAGCTGCAGGCAAGTGTAATGGAGAGGGCAGAGGCTGGACAAGCTAGAGAGAAGACATGGAGAAAGGGTAGGCAGAAGACATAAAATGGTACTACTTGGGGGCAGTGGGGAGATGAAAAAGCAGAGGATGGCAAAGAGCTCCTTTGCAGCAAGCAGGCATTAGGGATTGGGGGAGCTTCTTTTCCACCTTTCCCCCATACTTCTATTTTATGCTGCATCTCATATTTAGTTGTAAGTTGGGAATG